CCACCTAACGATGTCGAACTGAGCAGCGCTACGATATACGAGGAACACGCGAGATCATCGCACAAACATGCTCATCACCACACCACAGCTGAGCATCACCAACACAAACATCGCAGCAAGAGCCGTGGCGAGGCGAGTCGATGTGCCGAGCGCTCTAACGATCGCATCACTGGCTGCGCTGATAGTCGAAGCGCAGGTGGCGCTCTCGCTACAAACAACAAACGTATACATGATAAATGCTTTAATTCTGATGTCCATCGACATCATTGTAGCTCTGGAGACTTTCTGAGTGGTGGTTATGATGACCTCGACTTCAAATAACTGCTTACTTAATTACGAAGGTTCATGCTTTTTATCTTAATTTTAGTTACTACAGTTATTTTTATACTCTACTATCTCAGGCGCATTTCAATAAAGTAAGCATAGGAAGAACATTATGGCGGCTTTTTCTCAACGATCGTCCTTCGATTAGAACATCTGATAAATCCGGTAGATATTTACTACCATACTGTCATGAAAACTAGTTTACGATTGCGCGAAATATCCACTCTCGGTATGGTCGCTAATCTAAATTACTTCGTTGTTAAATACAAAATGTGAAGTCCAAGATAGTCTTCTCAATCTGACGCTCATCGGATCGTTATTCGACTCACAAAGCGGTTCGGTTGTTGAAATAAATTTTATGGGACCACGTATTACAACTAAAGGGTTTCAACAGCACATAAATATATTTTAGTTCCGAAGTATTGGGATTCTAAATTCATTGGTAAACAACTAACTATGTTTGATATTGCAAAAAAACGATAGAATCTTATTAATTAATCTTTAATAATTTTCTAAGCTGAAAACTTTATTAAATTAACAATCGCCATACAAACTATATGTTATACCACTATATGCATATTAATCTATCTATATATGTATATTTATTCAAATAGAAATGTTATTTTACTATTCCAAATCTTATATTTTACGTTATGCCTATATCAGGTACTGCGCTAAAAAATAAAAACTGTTCACAAAAGCAATGCACAATAACTTACTTTGTTCAGCACCACCTGGCGGCCAAAACACACAACGAAGCATATAATCGAATCAGTTTAGGATTAACACCGACAGGTGTCGCCCAGCAATGTAGCAACACTGACGTCCAAAATAGTGTTCCTGTCCTCGCACAAAATGTATATTTTAAAATCTAGTGTCTTTGAAAATGTGTGGCAAAGCAACATTGACCAAAATATTTAAAATTCAATCCTCTTTAGTCTTTGAAATAGGTAAAGCATTTATTAAGGATATTGACATGTAGGTTGCAAGTAGAATTAAAACGCATATAATTTAATGTAAGTTCAAGAACGTAGCTTTATTATAAACACCTATAAGAGTTAGCCAACACGTTTTAAAAGTTACTTCGGGGAAGTGACAAAGTTTCAACCACTTTTTACACCGATGGAGATAATGCACTTATCAAAAATTGCCTTCAATAAATTAATTTTTTCGTTGCCTGTATGGCATGTAGTGCTGTTTTGTGAAACCAAAGGTCATCCATATCAACGTCCTTCAATTCAGGCAGGGAAAAGTAATTAATCATGGCTCTATAGCGTTCCCCATTGACAGCAACATGTAGATGGGCACAACTCATTCGGGTCTTCTTCGCTCTGCAGCAGCAATAGCGTTTTCAGCGCGCACTGTTCGGCGTCTTTGAGGATCCGCATTATCCACTAGACTAAACGTGATGCGAAACCGATCCGTGGTTGCTCGAATTACCGCCTCTGCTGGGCGATTATGTCGATCAAATATTGTACAACCGATCCATTATTTTGGTAATAAATTTGCACGAGTAAGTCTATTTATTGTGAAATGGCAAACAAAACTGTGTATAAATTAAATAACAGCTGTCAAAAAGACCAACTCCGCGCCTAAAAAACACACGTTACTACTTATATACATATGTGCAGTGCCATGTACGATCAATCGGTCGGACTCTAGTTGTTTCAACTCACCCAAAAGAAAAACTACATATATGTATTTAATATTGAACGATATTTTTTCGGAGATACCCTAACGAATATATATGTATATATACACTGGAATAACTATGTGTTCTTATGTCTAATGTCCGTGAAGTTAGTAAGCATGCATATATGCAAAGATATCGGTAGAGTCATGTGTTCATACTGGTTTGATCTCTAGCCCTTTCAGGTGCTATGTTAATGCGTATAAATTTCCATACATTTAGACTTTTCTATTCATTTGCAAACTCAGCCGTCTGTATCTCCGCCCATATAAGGTCTAGTCGAAATTGTCTATGGCTCGCTATTGCATTTTAGAAGTTGTTTATTCTAGAGGCCTTCCCCGCGCCTCTTGACGTTTTCTACATCGCCGAAACTGCAAAATCTGCAAACCACAGGCAAAAATGCAACAACAATAACAACAGTATGCAACCTGCTGCCGGCTTTTAGCGTTTAGGTGCATTGAACTTAAGCGACTATGTTACTCACAGCTCCAGTCGTTGCCCAGCCGTAACTGCAGCAAACTCGGTGATCGTGCCTCATTTTTGTATCCATGTACATTGTATATGTATGTGTGTAGGGTTATAAGTAAATTGTTATATGTAACAGCATATGAATTCACGTGCGCAAATTTAGAATACTCTGGAGGGGGTCTGGAAAATCGACGCGAGGCAGCGAAGCAGCTGTGGCAGACTAGTCCAAGTCAGTGTGGCAAAAAGTCATAAAATGTCGCAGACAAGAGCTGATAGAATGCGGCATTGAACGCTGAAAGATGCGGTAATATTCCAGTTCGCGGCTAAAAGACTTTTCGTTAGTGGTGGAGAGAGTTCATCAGAACTTGCATGTGCACATACGAAACTATCAAATATACCAAAATGTGAGTAACTCTAAATTGCATGGTCCCACCACTCCATCATATAGCTGCCAAATCAATTAAATTAAATCAAGATATCTTCACTAAATTTGGCATGGGTTATGATCAGGCAACTGTACAATATTCGAAAAAAGTTTTCAGATCGCGCCACTATAACATATAGCTGCCATACAAGTTAAACGATCAAAATTATGGAATCTTGTGTATTTTTAGAGGGTATCATAGCTTCGGTGACACCAAAGTTATGGTTTCTTCTTGTTTTTATATATACACTCGTAAGCATATGCCGTCTTTATTTGAACTGAACCCTACTGTCTAAAGCCCAACATCAACTCGTTTCATAATGTTTATGATTTATAGCTTTGGAAGTATCAACAATGTTGAATTGTTTATTTGCAACATTTAATAGATGAGGTGGCTTCTGACTTTTTTATTGTTTATAGCATTATTCTCCTTCTTCAGCATAAGCTTCCGCTTAAAGTTGCCACCCCAGCTGGAAAGTGAGAATGAAACCGCAAACAACTGCGGTGCAAGCATAACTCAATACCTATATATACATATATCCTATATACATATCTATGTGTGTCTATGTCATTTCAATAAAATGTATGCCCTTCATGTGCGACAGTGACAAGTATTTATTATTTTCGCATATAACATATATAAGACGTCACTGTGGGCCGTCGAAACTGTGTGTCTTTTTTTTTGGTCGGAGACGTCTGTTGTTTCCACACGAAATTTTAATGGCGTTTTGTTGTTGCAGTAGTGAGAGTATTCCTAAAATAGTTCTATAAATTTCTTTTTAAATGGCCAACCTCAGACAGAGACTCATAGTCATTCCAGTGACTTAGAGCGGAGCAAATACTTCGAACAACAAATATAATTTTATGCAACCCGAAAAAATAAAAGTTGTTCCTAATATCATATTCAGATACTTGTATATACTTACTAACTATATTTTATATTCGATCTGCGTTACTAGGTCTTTAGAGCCACTTCGTGTACTTATGAATGAAATAAATAAAATAAGTATAAAAGTAAATAAAATACTAGTCTATTAGATTCATATTTCAAAAAAATAATAATTCATTGAGTTGTGACTGAAACTGTTTGTGTTGGTAATTCGAAGCTTAGCTGCGGCTTAGCTGACATCTTCTCGTGTAAAACCAAAGGGGCTGAGATGTGAGATGTCGTTTTCCGTGCTTAGATCCTTCAAATGTTCTTCGCGTTATTCCAAGGTCTATGTTCATGGATTTTTCCCTTTTGAAGGCAGAGAAGTGAAAACATTACAATTTTAAATAATCTTATTTTTTGCCAGTTACTTATTTTATTTTATAAAAGTAAAAACATAGTATTATTCAATTAAGAAAAATCATCATTTTCAAAAATAATGTGGCTGTTTGTGTTGATCCGTTCCAACTGGACTGCTTGCGTGGACCATCACTAATCCTTGGAGCGCCCATTTCGAATTATAATACTTTAAGAAAATGTAAAAAAAATCGATATTAACATTTAATATTAGTGACGTCCTCTCATAGAATGAAAACTTTTCAACCTGTCCAGTACACGTTAGTTTAATGCCAAAAGTATAGCAAATGCCAAAAAAATACACACATGTATATCAAAATGTTGAGAGTATTATTGAGTTAGTGATATACTTGTATGTTTATTACGATGGCATCATGAATATTAGCGGTCCATTAGAATTCAAAATATTGATATGACAACCTTAGATTACACAACGGAAAAGAATGTTCGCTGGAAAGTCCTTGGAAACAGACATGAATGTTACTAGGCTTTTACTATTCTTCCAATTTCATCAGCTCATTGAACATTACACTGCAATGAATTATTAAAACAAGAAAAAAAGTAAACTTCGGTTGTTTTGAAGCCCTTCAAGGAATGCATACAGTTAAAATTTTCAAAAAATGTATTTCTTTCTTCTTTATATACATATAGGTATATAAGAATACACACAGAAAATTTCATATAGTTCCGGTGAATATTTTCGAAGTTACACGCAAATTTGAAAAGGCGTTTTAGAGTGCTTGGAAGTATTATTGTACAAGGCCGGAGCGGCAGCGACTTTTTGGGAGAACGGTGTTTTTAAAGTCGGTGACCAACCTCGAAAACGGCTGAACTGATTAGTCTCAAATTTGAACACGAGCTTCTTAAATATATTTTATAGTAATTAATCGAAGACTTTTTCCCTCCGATAAATGTTTTTGTTTTTATAAACAATTTAAGGCCGAAATTTCGGTCAAAAATCGACCTTTTGTTTTTTGAGAAACCGCCATTTAGTCAAAAAGTTTTATTTTGCTTATTCCTTCGCTTAATTACTAGATTTAACATTACTTTCACGAAATCTAATTGGTTTTTAAATTCAGAAGATCCAGTTCAGAAATATAGTGGTCACCGCAAAACGTCTTTTTTGAGAGGAGCTCCCGAAGATCAGCTGTAGCTCTTTTCCAAATAATTATTTTTAATAGTACTAAGTCTTAAAATATAGTCAAAAAATGCCATAAAATGTATATAATACTATAAACAATATATTCTTGGACCAATAAATTAAAAAGTTTTCTCAGACAAACTTCTGGAAAATTCATTTCTTTCGGCCTTCTAACTGTATATAACCCTTCACAAGGATACAAACAGATCAAACCTGGATTTTGAACGATTAGATTGTATGGCAGCTATACATTGGCCCGATCCATATAATATTTTCGGAGATCATAGCATTGCCTTCGGTAATAATTCGTGGTAAAGTTCGTTTAGATATCTTGTCAAATAAAAATGTTTTCCATTAAAGGATTGAACGTTGATGTCTTATACCCGTAGTTCCGACAACTGATCAGCTTCTTGGGGGGAAAAGGACGTGTACAAAATTTTAGATCGATATCTCAAAATATGAGAGACTATATGTGTGATTCAATAAATCAAAAACAGATAGTTATGTGTATTTGTAATAATCTCATTCGCTTTCAGTATAATTCCTTAGCCTCCTGCTCATTCTCTTCAATTTTAAATAGATACATGGCGATAAACTCATCATATAACTTATCCTTCTCACGCAATTGCACTTCCTTGGAAATCTCATCAAGCAATTCCAGCAGCTCCTGCTGCTCCTCAACGGTGGTTTCAGACAGTGTGTCCCACAACTGCTGCGACGAGGCCGCAAACTCGTCCATGAAACTCAAATACAAGTTATCAAACTCTGTAACGTTCTTTTTGGACTTGTAGAATTCGTCTGAGATTAGTTGAAAGTTGAATTCCGGTTGTAGGGGTTCCAATTGGCGGCGTAGCAATTCAATATGCAAATTGTTCACTTTGAATTGACGCAGCAATTTACGCTTCAATGTAAAGTTCGTATATGAAGTGCCATCTAACGCTTCCTGTACCTGCGCAATATAATGCTGCATCGTTTGATTGGTGGCTTCCAAGAGTGTTGGCGGCATCTCTTTGCTTAGGTTGAGGTAAACGTTTCGGGTGATGATCAGCGCACGATTGGTTGTGTTCAGTACGAGGCGTTCAACGCGCTGTATAAACATTTGCAACTCTGGATTGGCTGGTTGAGCGGTTTGAGAGCCGGCAGAGAAGAGGAACTGTACAAGTGAAGGTAATAGAGGGATTACTTCACAAATAAAGAGAAAACGTTTTACTTAACCCTCGTACTTACCTGCAAGAAGATTATTGAAAGAACTATTTGCCCACGAACCGTCATTTTGCTCGCCACAAACGTATGGATACAGCGCAATCCAAAGACTGAAACCAGAACTGGTCTGACGTGCTAACTTAAAGCGTATGCTTATGGGTTCTTTTGTATTGTAGTTGTAACGAATACAGAAGAAAGCGAGTTAAGGATTAACTTGTATGTATGTATGTGGCAACGAATTTGTTGGAAACTTATTTACGAATAAGTGTGACTTTGTGTTTACCTGCAGATGTTTATCATTCTTTATCGGTTCTATAGTGTTAAAAAAACGTTGAAGACTTCTTCGACACTTGATCAATGAGCTTCACATGTTCTTGAATATACACATTTGGGTTGAATAAAAACAAGAAAAAGCGTTAATTTCTACTGCATCGAAGCTATAATACCCTTCACAAATAAAAAGTTTCCGTACAATAACTTTATTTTGATCGTTCAGTTTGTATGCTCTATTAGTTCGATATCGTCAGTTCCGGCAAATGAGAAGGATTGGAAGAAGAGTACGTGGGAGAAATTTCAGATCGATGTCTCAAAAAGGGGACATACATATACACAAAGGTTGAGGTAGAGAAGAAAAATAAATAGTTTTCATCGAAAATCACTTTATTGTTTATCAAAATATTCTAATTTAAGATCTTTACATTTTTGCATGCGTTTGAACCAATTGTTGAAGTACCTTTGGCACTCTAACTGAAGTATCTCCAAAATATGCAGAATGCATCAACCGTCTCTTCAGGTGTCAAAAAACGTTGACTTCTTAGCTTATTAAAAGAAGTCATTCAGGCCTATATGGTGGATGCTTGATTAAATTGATGTTTCGAGTGCTCAAACATGCTGTTTCAGTCGATATATGAGAGCTCTTATTGTCGTGGTAAATTTCTTCATTTCTTGAAAAACAACTGGCAAACAAATGGTTGTGTACCGCTCAGAATTTATTGTTGTTCTACTGTTATGGTTGCGACACGTCCACCTTTTTCCAAAAAAAAGAGGCAACTATTTGCTTGAGAATGCTATTATTGGATTCTGGAGCTTGTTGGCTCATCTGGAAACATCCATATCACCGAATGGTCGGAGTCATACGTCTAAATCCACAATTCTGTACCTATAATGATGTCATTAACGTGTTTCGATGACACGTGCCTTTTTAGCAATGTTTATTTACGCACAACATCAATAGTTTCCGGAACAAAACCTGTTTTTGGACGACCTTCACGAAATTCCTCTTGGAGTGATCTACGATCCCGATTGCATTAACCATACCATCGAAAACACTATTCCTTGATGGAGCTTCATTGCCTAAAATTGAAGTAAGCATCGGTGAAGCACTGTTGCTAAGTTAATCAACGTCGAAAGTTTTAAAAAATTATCGAGCGAAAATGTTCGCGATTTAATTAAACTTTTGGTGAAGATGAATATTTTAAGTTACTGTAAAAAACACAAATAGCGCTCGTATGTCAAAATGTTCTCAGTATGTATAACATTGAAAATGTTCGATAAGAACGATATCTTAAAAACGGAGGGAGTAGTTCGGTTATTTACGAGTACAAACATTCAGGCAGAAAAACATGGCTAATTCGGCTTATTCATTCATTATATATTATATACTCGTATTTTATAGGGCCTACGACGTTTTCTTCTGGGCAAACTAAATATATCCTGTTCAGGGCATAATAAAAATTTAGACGACGATGATAACTACAATATGCTAAGAATCGGGATTTTGATACCCATTTGTATAAATCAAACTTAAAATATTGTAGTATAAGTCTATTTCTATTTTATCCAGTCGGAATTCTGTCGATTACTATTTCCTCTGAATAATTACTACACTTGCGATTCCCAGGGTGTAGTGGCCGAAACCCACCACATGTATACATTTGCAACATGCAAAATGCAGTAAAAAATTCTTACAAAAATACGACTATGTGTGTTTATAGCCACCTAGTACAAAGGTATAGCCAACTGTTAAACTAGTTGAATGAATTTCCAATATTGACATACGAGTATATAGCGTACATAACAACATCCTTCATAACAATATCCATGTGTGCCTTTCGCGTATGTTATGCTGAGTGTTGTGACGTTTGCCAATCCAGGTCATGGTTAGTTAACCGCTAAGGATAAATTTAGCGCACCCATTTGGGTTACAGCGTCGAGAAGTCAAGGCGAGAACTAAAAGCTTTGCCACAAATATTCAACCATTTTAACAATGGTACTCATTTCTGCGCCAATTTTTTATATATAGGCGTATGACAGCGTTTGTTCTGATGGCTGTGCAAACGCATATTATTTTTATATATATACACATATGTTAGTACTTTAAGTACAGTCGCATATATCCCTAAAAATGAAGACAAACAATTTAGATTAGTTTTAAGCCAAAAAATGCTGAATTTCCACCACGAAATTTGCTTGGTTGATATCTTTTTTACAATATGTAATTGGTTTTTCAGTGTCCTCTACTGCGAATAATGTACGCATACATATGCACACATATCGAGAGATATCCCAATTGGAATATGTTAAATTTGTGTTTCTACCTTGTATTTTATTATATAATATATGAGATGAGTAATCCCTCCAATAGCAGAGTGACAATAATTGAGCTCCTTGGATATGTGCTTAAGGGTTGAAAAGGTCTGTTTAGCCTAACTATTAATTCTATTCCATTAGTTCGTAGCGAGACTTGCCTGACCAAAGTGGAAATGCTGTAAACTATAAAACTGACGAGCTTTCAAGAAAAGGCACTCTCGTCCCATATTATCAACAGACTGAAAACGAGTTGGAGCTCCGTTGTCTTCTGACATTATTTTATACTGGTTTACATCATAATCCTATTATACTTAGTCTTGCCATAAATTCTGTTACAAAATTAACAACCAAAATCGGAATATATCGAGAATGATTGTTTACCACTGTTGATCGTTCTTCTTAAACGTCTACGAAATGATCTCCATATGAAAGGTACTGTCGGTCAACAATTCATCTTCTGAGCACGCGCTTGAAGCAAAATAGGCTCAACAGATGCAAGCGGCTACTTCATTGGCACGCTGTCAATGACTATGAAATTTTCGTCAAACAGATAAAAAACTTGCATTATTGAAGAAGTTTTTAATAAGCAAAACGACAAAATCGACCAAAAAACTTCTAAAGACGCAGGAAAAGGCATTAAACCTGTAAAAGTGTACCAACAGAATGCTTTCTAAGGCGTGGTAACGCAGTTAAGCAATACTCTCTTCAGCACACAAGGCCAAAACCACCCAGCACGTTCTTAAAAGCAATATTGCTCGTTTAATAGTAGCAGGTTATTGGCGGCTTGGAAGTCCAGATTTAAATCCATTGAACTACAGTTTGTGGTTCGAGTTGCAGATCATGGCCTGTCGAATATCTCACAGAAATTAAGAGAGTCTCAAAATATCTTTGGTTCCAACAGTGTCGTCAATACCAATAAAAGCTGTGCTATTGATCAATGGTGGCCGAATCATTTGACTATTTGTGTGAAAGCAAAAGATGACCATTTCGAATAAAATTTTTCATATCGCTCGTTTATTATATTCATAATTAAATAAAAGTAACATTCTTAAAAAATTTTATATTTAAATCATTTTTATAACGGTCTGAGCTTGTAACAGAACTTATGGCAGAATTAAGTATGATAAAATGTGGACTATTAAAACCAAATGTTTTATAGGTATATTTATATAAAAATCTTACATTATAGGTATGGATACATTAGAACTGGATATGTTGTGGACATGTTACTAATACATAAGTAAGAGCGCATTTCCGATATTGTGCCTTCATCATATTGAAAGATCCTTTATGCTTTCCGATATGAAAGCAACCAGCATTTTCTAGAGACAATTTATGCACGAAATGCATTTTTGTCAAAACATTCTCTGAATATTAAATATTTGGGATAGCAGAATGAGAGAAAGTAACATAAATAAACACAACTATGCATGCCATGAATGAAAGCGACAGCTCGACACCACCTACACACACACACAAGCTCATGATATATGCAAATAAATGCTTTGTCTGACTTAAGCAAAGTTGCATTTGCATTTGTCACAAATACTATCTCATTTAATATCGCCTTACAGCCTTTATGCAACGAGTACTCGGGGCAAATGTTCAGAACAAAGTTAGTTGAAGGCTCTCTTTTGATTGCGGATTAATATGAATACAATGCTCATGCATATTATGCCTGTACTCACAAACACTCAGATCTACATATTGAGGAAAGAGTCTGAACGTTTCTTGAGATGTTTGCTGCTGTATATGATGATATTTACTAAACATTGCACAATATGCAAGTAGTATGTCGATCAACTACGTGACAGCGCTTGGACGGTCGGTGCGGACGGACATGTCATAATGCCTACAGTCTTTGGCAACTTTATACACTCATAAATACCAGAGATGTGCAATTCAATGTAGGATAGGTACATGAGCGCCTGCGTTTTAAACACACGATGTCACAAAATCACTTCAATATATTCAAAAGACATTCATTAAGTTCAACATTATTATTTTTCATATGTATTTGTGGCAGTAGTTGCAGTGCGTGATGCATAACTTAAGGCGTTCTAAGGCTGGTAGTCAAGGAATTGTACAAATATGAAATGCAAATATTGCAATTGTTTATTATTCAAATTTGGTATTAATAGGAAACGAAAATTAATAGGAAGGCTCATGAAAGTACAATGGAATTGTGAAAATGCAACTTGAAAAGATAATGACAAGTATTTGGTGTCGTAGCTTGGTCTATTTGCTACGCATCTAAAACTCATTTGGTTGCATATTCATATAAAAGGCTAGTGGAATTCTAAGGTCTTAAATATCAATCATATTATTTTTATCTGCATCTAAAATTGTTATGGCCCCTCATTTATAAGAGATCTCTATAATATGCAATATAAATTCCAACCCTTAATTAATTTCCACAAGGAAATTTCCTTATGTCAGACTTATCAATCACTGATACATGCGGGCAGAATCGCTTCTCCCCTTCTATACGCTCCCCTCAGACTTTCACAAAAATATAAATTAAATTTTAATGTCTTT